CCCCCAAAACCCCAAAACCCCAAAACCCCAGGAAAGTGATAAATATTGAAACTACGAACCCAATTTGGGCTGTTTTACATTAAATTTGTAGATGAATTCATCTTATAGGATTCTGTCATTTTTTCATAATAGTTTATCTGGTCTATATATTCATATTAGAATGATGATCAGCAACAGCGTACCTTTACTCCGCTTATCACCTAAGAGAAGCCTATCAATATCTTCAAAATCATCTTTGATGATTAGGAAATTTTTTGGGTGAGGTTTAGAATGACTCTTGGTCCTGTTAACATTTTCTGTACTCTGGATCTGCTTCTTTGCACTCCCACTATAAAGAATCAAACCTGGCTGTAATCATTCCCAAATTGAGAGAACTTGTGCTTACCATAAGAGATTTTCGGATCCTTTATGGATAATCCCGTCACAACGTGTAGGATTCTGACCGAACCTAGATAAATTATAATTCGAATTATTTTAACTCGGGCGATGATGTAGGTGAGAAGATACCAAGAATAAAGAAAACGTTAGTGACCCAAAGAAAAGATAATCAAAGTTTGGATAAATCTTACTTTATATACCTCTTGCTAACCGATCTTAAGGAGTAAGGCAGTATCAATGATCTTTTAGGATCTTTAATACTAGGCAAGGACTCAGTAAGGTTGTCTGAGGTTTCTCTGTTCCTTCCCTTTAGTCTCATTGGCTCATCCAATGAGCAGATCTCTATCTGAGGTTTCATAGATTTCTCATTGCTATTTCTTAAATCACTCGGAACATAAGGAGACACATTTCTCCGACTGTATCCAAACTTCTTCTCATAGATATGATTCTTGGAGGTTTCAGTATTATTGGACTTTCCTCTTTTTGTCTTGCTCACATTCTTAATGTTGAGATTAAACTGCTCAACTGACAGAGTGCTTTTATTCTTGATGTCAATATTGGATTTACGAAGGTTCCTCCCACCAGACTTTATGTTCTTCTTAATCAACTTGGACTTCCGACTTTTAGAACCAGATTTTAAGCTGGTCTCTTCAGAAGACCTGAAGCGAAGGTATAAATTATCTTTGCGAGATTTCTTCTGTTCAGACATTAACATTCTTGACCTGATCTTCTTGTAATTAGCAAAGTCTTCAGATTCGTCTAGCTTAGGAAGTGTCAGAAGGGATGATTGCCTTTCGTGCTCGGGTCTTCTCCTCTTTTCACCTTGCTATAGGTTGAAAAGTTATGAGATGAATAAAAAGGAACCAGGATTCTTTATTAGCATTAACATATTTCTCTAAAGGAATATCCTCTTCGATGTAACTTCAGAGAGATCTTTGCCTTTCGAGGGTGCTTCAATGAGAAATCTTACAAATTAGGATTTTGAGATATTTAAAAATTAGTTTGTAAGGTGAACTGAACTATAAACGGCTTACCTCTGCATAAGGAAGAATTGAACGATCCTTAGCCTTTATAGGGGTTATCCCAGTAGATGAGGAGTTATGGATCTTAATTGACTTGTTTCTGTCATTATTTCTTTGCTCCTTAGGTATTTTCTTTAAATAAGCTCGCACATCATTGAAACTAGGCGTCTCCCTCTGAACATTACCATCGTAAAATTTGATATCATTACTTTGATTATTTTCGTAGACTGAGATGTTGAGATCGTCTTTGAGTAGAGGAGGTGGCTTACTGTTCATTGCAATTTTCTGAGGAAACATCTTTCGTTCAGATTTTTGATGCTTAATAGAATACCCACTATTTTTACTCATCATCATTTTAGACTTTATAGTCAGATTAGTACTTGTATCCTTCGTTTCAACACTGTTTTCAAACTTCTGAATTTTAATATTACGGCTTGGGTTCTCCTGACTTAACCTGTGCTTCATATCATTATACCCATTTTTATTCCCCAACTTCTTCTGAATTAAAGAGCTAATCCTCGAGGAGGAGAAATTAATACTCTTCTGAATAGGCTGATTCGAATTCTGAATCACTCCGGGGAGACCGTCTTTCTTGATCAAAGTGATTTTATTCTTAAATTTCTTGAGGAACTCCGTCCTTTTAGAACTCATAAATAATTTTATAATTCAATTATCGTACCTCTTCCAGGGGTTTTGGGGTTTTGGGGTTTTGGGGTTTTGGGG